GGAAACCCCGTTTACTAGGCACGGGTGCCAATGATTCGGCCGCCATTCTTCAGGGTGAAATGTCTCAGGCTCTTTGTCCTGAAGAAGGTCTCAGAATGTCAGCCGAAACGTTGGCACCTTATATATAAATTGGACGCGGCTTCTCCCTGACAGCCAAGTAGTTACTGACTCCCGGCGCGAATGCCAACGCTCTCTGCTATGGGCATTGAACCTGTATGTATGCTGTAGTATATCACGGAAAGTGGCAATACTCGCTCGCTAGACAGTGAGATCCTGCGCCGACATAAACCCCGACCTCACTGAAAAGTCAAGTCAAAATATTCTTCTCTTTTTCATGTAGTATTACTGAATTAGAAAACTCTTTATTTTTATCTTAATCTTAATTCTACATTTTATATTGCATTGTAAAAACTTTGAAAATACTCCAAATAAAGGAGGGAGTTGATGTGAATAATGTAAAAATGTTTATAAAATCCTTGAACTACTCTGCAGTAAGAACATAATGCGTCATATCATGTGGAGACACGAGGATAGAGGACATGCCCGGGTATCACCAATCCTTTCCAAGCTATGCTCCCGCTTTCAGAGTATATGTAAAGGATACTTGAATCCAACATATAATTTGCCCATAAAATAACATAAAACATAATAACTTAAAAAATAATAATAAATATTTGCTAGAATTGTATAACTTACGACAGGAAATACATGTTCACATATTATGATGTATAAGTGCAATAGAAGCTGGACAGAAATATTTCAACGACAGTCAGTTTCTGCTGCAGTAAATATGAGCCTTAGTATAAAGAAAAGAACATTAGCCTTAGTATCAATATTAGCCTTTGTATAAAGAAAAGATCATTCAAACATAAATTAAATAGTTCTAAGTCAATTCAACGTGCATTGTTTACTAACAGTTTTATGTAGTTTCATTGTCGTTGTTATTGCCATACTGACTATTTGGCCACAGATATTTTGAGAGCAAGTTTTATTCCCTACAGAATTCTGGGACTCGTAATTTCAGTTCCATAGGGAAAACCAGAACTCTCGAGGCAGTTTGCGACTAGAATGTTCCTCAATAAGGAACTGATTATCATACTTGATTTTAATTTTAATACTATAGCCTTCAAAAATGTTCGAAATATTTTCATCATATTTTAATTTATTGTCAATGAATGGGCTATAATACCACCAGACATTATTGTAATGGTTTATACCTTTTTAATCGTTTCTTTTATATCATTGTTTTGACTTCGCTATGTACTCTTTTCACTTTCTCGTCAATTACTTAGGTAGTGCAGAGGAATTGTGGCAATTCAGTTAGGAAAAGTGCCTACATTTCGACAAAACAACTATTTCGTTCCGATCCGGTGGCCGAAATCTCTAAGGTAGTTGTGCCGTAGCGATCTTGGACAGAAGGATCGCAGGTTTGAGTGCCGCCTCGGGCATGGTTGTATTGTGTTCTTCCTTTCACCCCCTATCGTCATCATATCGTGTCATCACACTTACCATACCTTTATAGGCAATAGTGGTCGCTAATGACCTAGGAGTTGATGGACCTCAAATAAAAACGAAAAACTATTTTGTGATAACGTGATACAAAAAAGAACGTGTGTTTCTTATTTCGTTATTTAGTAAATTACTTTCTCAAACACGTGAAGTAAAGATAATCAACTTTTTTCATGTCTACCAAACCAAAAAAGGTATTTCTAGCAAAACATCTGACCGTCTGAAAGTCATTCCGCTCCGTTCTTTTGTAACAGCACTAGTGTCAAAACTGTTCTCAGAATTATTACAATACTTGATATTACCGGATCTGAGAGACATCGTGATCCCTAGAAATTGAAATTGATCTTTTAATTTTCAGGTTTCTTAGTACAAAATTCAACTTTTTAATTTTAAAAACGTCATGAAATATGTGTTTAAATTGGTTTTGTTCGAAAAATGAAAATACGCTTATAAAAATAATGCATGTCTTATTTTCAATGAAATCTCTAATATTTTGAAAAGTGCAAAAGTTAAACATTTTTGGACTACTTCCTACAACAGCATTATTGAAGATGGCCATTTAAAAATGAAATCTATCGTTAGATTTTTAAGTAACTTTAGGTACAATTTTTTCAAAATATGCGTACATTTTGCTTATTTTTCAACAACGTCGTCACTAAAAATACAAAAACAAGATTTAAAGAAAGACAGGCTACATTTTGTTAAAATGTTTTCTTGAATAGAATAAAGTTTACTGAAACAATTTGAGAGAGAACCAAAATTCGTGACTTTCTCTGAAATTTTCAACGTTGTAAAATCTTAAAACGTTTGAACACTCACAACTACGTTATTAAATATTTGCTTTTCATTTTAATTTGAAAATTAATCTATTCCTCAATATTTTGTCATTAACTTCGTGTATACTCTTTTAAAGTTATAGTAATTTTGATTTATATGGTGACAAGGTTTAATTTTATTTTGACCTTTCATACATTCTGTATTGAAGGTAGAGTTGCATTTGTTATTGCAATCTATTATTGGATATTCATCGTAGATCTTTTAATTGTACGATTTTTTCAAAATACTGGTATTTTTTCAATAATTTTGAGTTATATCATTTGAGTCTTTCAAGTGATTGCTGTAGCATTTGTAGGGTCAGAGATGCAATATTATAATATTCCATAACCGTTACCAGATACGAGAAAGTATTAACTGTTTTACCACCAATAGTTTCCCTGGTGTGCACCGCACTCACTATCAACCTAAGGCGTGGTACGACAAGGGTCGATCTACCATGAAGTAATGTTGCTTCAAGAACTGGTTCCATGTCAAATATAATATTCTAGTCATTTATACAAACTAGAAACAATTCTGATTAAAACGATGTCATGTGTATAGTTCACCTAGGTTATAATTTACCTTTCAGATCCATCTGCTGCTTTGCCATTATCACGTGTTGCGTCGCCTAAAGAAAGAAAATTTCTGAGGAGCTCTCGTTTTCCTGCCTGAAAAATTTACATACTGATTACGACCAGTTGGTTAGAAAGCAATTGATACCCTCAAAACCCACTCAATACATTTTACTAAATAAGAAACGTGTAGTGATAAGCGCTTCTCGAAACAATATATTATTTCCAAACAAGGAAAAACGAAATCCTTTCAACCCAGATCTATTTAAATAAATATTTGTTGGAACACACCAATTTCAATACAAAACATTTTATTTTATAAGTAATTGCGGAAAGATGAAACCCATGTAAAAAATTAAACTCTCCCTTGTATCAGAGAATGATGAATCCTTTCAGTTTTCCTTTTTATACGCCTCTCTCCTATAATGAAGCCTTTAAAGTTTGAAGTCATTGAATAAACTCAGTGGTTGAACCACTCTGTTCCTCTTATTCACAAGTTTCGTTTAAATCTATTTTTTATTTGTGTTTTAATTATTTACATACTTTTGGTTAATGGGTAGTGATAAGTTACCATCTCAACACGTCGCAAGTCACTCTGTGTGGTCACTATGTCACCATGCCACAACGCCATGATTCAACCTAGGTCGTAATCAGTTTGCTCGCGGCGAGACTTTTCTAAACATTTCCGTGTCTGCCGTTTGTGCTATTGTATTTTGATGGCGAGCAATAAAGTATTTTTAGCTACTACTGTCAGATATTACAGAAATAAGATTTCTTTGTAATTTAATGGCAATATAAACGATTATAAACTGCACGACAAAACCTAAAAATACTTAATGTAGAACTAATTTATGGAAAATTTAATTACAAGGCTGAACATATAAAATACATTCTTATTATTTGGTTTCGTCATACCATTCTGAAAAAAGGCATGAGAGATAACTTTTTACCGTTTTGTTAAATATTTTCCTAAAATTTCTCAATGAATTATAGGGAATGAAATAAATAGAGATGAATTTGGATCCTTAGATTCTTTTTCATAGATTTTTCTGAAATGAGAGGGGCATCCTCCTCTTAATAACCCAATATTTCAGACAAAGGGTAGTAAGTTACGTTTTAGCATGTTTTTCAATGTAATAAATATATTCCACGAACAAAAAAATTCAGACTTTTTTCGAGACTAAAAAGTAAAAATCTTAGTTTTGGGTTTCTTGAATCTCTGTCATTTAAGGACAATTTTCATTATCATTTCATGTGAAATAGTTGGTGGCACATACTTAAAATGAAAATTTCTAACTGTTCAAATCAAATTGTGAAATGTTTATCTCGCAAAATCTAAACGCACATACACCATGTGGCTGACACATTTGAAAGTTGCTGTATAACTTAGTCTCATGAATTATTTGAGTCCGTCAGTTACGCAATGGCAACGTGGAGGTAAATTAAATAAGAGAATACCCAATCATTATGAATTTCTTAACGGCCAATTTACGAGCACTATTAGTCATCTTCAGATCTGTTTCATTAGGTCACGTTCCTTTTTCATTTATGGCAGTACTTTTAAGTAATTTTCTCCAATAGATAGAGAATAAAGGAGCTAGTGATCGTCACGTTTATAGATTCTTCAAACATAAGACATTTTGCGGCAACTTTCTGCAAAAAGTGTGAAAAGGCTTAATATAGTGTGTCAAAATTCCATTAGTGATTTTAGGTTTAAAATTTAAGTCGAAAGTGGATAATAATTGCACAGTACTACTCAAAGATTTATACAGCATTGTAACATGAAGACATGAAGAATATAATACTCAAAGATTTGTTTGAAACAATAAAAATTCGAATATATTCAAATTCGCGTATAGGTATCACTCATGTGCTTTGTAAGCTTACCCATGCATTATATTTACAATTCGAAGTAGTTCGAGTTTGAAATGTTATTTGCAAAAAAAATGTGATAGATATTTCCCATCACTATTTCAACAAAATGGAGAAAATGGGTTACATTTTGTGGAAACATTTTAACTTCCTCGTTAAGAATATTGAATAACAAAGTAACAAGAATATTGTTGGACGTCATTAGGATGAAATAATGGAAGTATACTACGATAATTAGTAATAAAAGTCTTTATTTTAAAATAGGGTTTTAAATACAAAAATTACCAAAAAGGCTAAAAGTACAAGCTTTCTGGTTACATCTTTAGCCAGAAATGAAAAGCCCTTCAGGTATGTTACGATACGAAGTTATCTTTTCTTTATGTTTTGATAAAACATTAGTCATTTCTACCTCTATAGACTTATGCTATATATTAGGATCCTCAAAGGAAATAGTTTCTGAATTAAGTACTTAAAAGGTGTAGTCAACTTCCGGAACTAATAATAGTTATGCTGATGCAGGATGTTGAATTACATTATATTTTTCCTTGTGTGATAGAGGGCTTTGGGTTCGACTTCTTGATGAACAACTATCAATCACCTGTTGTGTAATACTGCACTGCGGGTTTCTGAAACTTCTTCCATGAATTGTATTGAATGATTTAAGTAAACGCTATGGAATCTTCTGTAACCAGTATCTTCATTATTAGCCACTACTATTATTCACTTTTAGTTTCATAGTGATATTGAAATACAAATATATACATTTTAAATAACATTATATGGCCACTGTTAAAATGCATAAAATATTTAATAGGTGTTACGTCAAGAATAATGTATAATTTTGAAACAAAAGGGAGAATCAATTATGAGGAGCACAGAACATGTAAATCGCTTCTTTCTTGAACATACTCATGTAATATCAGAGTCTTGTCTCGCTGACCATTATAAGCACCATATTCACTTCTTAAACATACAGTATATCTGCATCTGTTGTCATCTCAACAGATGAAATTTCAGTATCATAGCTTGTTAATGCGACGTTAGTGTCTTCAACGATAATTATTATACAATGATTCTTGTAATCGTTTTCAATATTTGATAACTCAACCTTTCCTGTGTATCAATTTTATTGTAACTTCTTGGTTTCATGTCAATGTAATATTACTAATCATAATTATATGGCATCAATCTGTTACAATAATAAAGTAAGGTAAATTATTATCAGTTATTTGGCACGTGAAGAATAAAAACTCGTTCATATACTACAGTTACGAATGAATGTGGGCATTAGCACCTACAATAGCGCAGTAATTTCCCATGTTTATGAACGTTCGGCTTACACATTCTTAAATGAATATCATCGAGAATCGCCACTGACTTTGATGACTGTAAAAAGAGCAAATACTCTTTCATAAATTAGCAATAGCAGGTTTGAAAATCTAGATTTTGAAAAGCGTGAAGCTCAAAGAACTGTAATATATTTCAAACCACCTACCTAAAAATATCCTAATTAGCTATGATAATAGTATGGAATATACTCGCATTTATTTCTATGTACATAAACCACTCATATTACAATATTTCCGGGACTGCACTTCCCTATCATCTACCAACACTTCTCCATGTCTTGCATTCCAAATATTATTGATGTGATGTGTATTTTCATCAAATGATGTGCTTTTTTCCTGTTCGTCTACTCGTAACAATTTTCGATTCTACGTACGTGAAATCGATCACAGCTAAATACAGATTAAAAATGCTCCACACTTACAACATTTAGGAAACGAATATTCTGTTTCCAAATTCTGTTCTCGCGCACGATTCAGGTAATTTTTGCGTCACTTATAGTTTTTTTTTTTTTCACGTGAAAAGGCGATCTATTCTTCTATTAGATAGCTGGGATACACCTTTGGTCGTTTTGGACAGTTGTGCGCCTCGTATTCCACCTTCGCATCAGATGGAAAATGCCCTTTCTTGAGAGAACGTTTCGCTTCCAACCACGCCATCGAAGTCTCTGCTCCTCAACGCCAAGTCCGCACACCCATCATCTCGCCTCGCGATCCGTCGCGTGTGTGCGTGCACCGAAAACGTCAACCGCGGGGACCGCGTCTGCGCGAGAGCGCCGTCGGTCCCGCGTCCCCCTGAGTGTGTAGCTGCCGGGGCCGGAGGGCCCTGGCCGGCGGGCGGCGCCCTCTACTTCCGGGACGGGCGCACCTCGATGACCACGCCCCCGGGCGCGCCCCCGTTCAGCGCCGGCCCGCCGTTGCGCAGCGGCGACGCGTACTTGGCGTGGCCGTTCTCGAGGTAGCGCAGGCCGTCGCCGGCGCCGCGGCCGTAGCGGCTCTTGGTGACGGTGGTCGTCTCGGTGGACTCGATGGTCTCGGTGGAGAGGCCGCTCTTGGTTGGCACCGTCTTCTTGGAGAAGCTCTGCACCGTGTTGGTGACGCTGGGGCGCAGCGGGTCGTCCGACTTGGAGGTGATGCGCACCGTCTCAGAGTAGTCGTCGTTGCTGCTGCTGCCGCGCCGCGCCAGCGGCCCGCCCCCGTTGCCGACCCCGTTGCCGCCGCCCGAACCAAAGCTGGACTTGCTGCCCGCGGGCGAGGTCACGCGGTCGCCGTTCATCAGAGACGAGCGGAAGCTGCAAGTACACACGCACATATCATGAGTATCAAAATACACAATAGTGTTCTTTGAATGCATCTCATATAAGTAGCAGCTCTTAATTTGTGAGTAATTGGGGAATGTTTTTTACTACTTTTTAAATAAATTGTGATATATGATTTATTCAAATACTTATTGAATATCCATTGCAAATTAAATATCAATTCCTCATTGAAGATTATGTCTTTTTTGTTGAAAAATACAAAGAATAAAAAGGAACATATTTCTTAGCAAAAGTTCAGGACAAAAACAAGATGTAACAAGATGTAAAATTTAGAAGTAAATAGTTTTAAATATTCTTGAATTATGGCTTTCACTCCACGTTCTTGTGAAGTAAAATTATTATGTGAAAAAAAATTCTTCTGGGTAGATCTTTACAGTACTTTTGACGCAAGACTTTATCATTTCAATTTTCAAAATGTTACATTTGCTCTTCACAATCTGTGTCATTGATGTTTTTTCATACCGTTTGTATGCACCAAAAGGCACTAAAAAGCTATTTATTTGGTAATCTACTCGGGTTGTGAATGCAATAATAATATGAATTGCCGTAACACCGGCTGTATTGCGCGCTATCGCATTGGCGATGCCTCACCCGCGAGTGTCCGGGGGCGTGGCGTTCGTGCTGGACGAGCGGAAGGAGTTGCTGTAGTCGAGCAGGCGGTGGCTGCCGTTGCCGTTGACGAGCCCGTGGCCGTGGCCGTTCTTGAGCGGGGTGCTGGTGTAGAGGCGGGCGGCGCCGGCGGGCGACGGGGCGGCGTCCGCCCGGGGCGAGCGCGCGCGCGGCGGGCGCACGGGCTCGGCCTCGTCGTCGCTGTTGTTCTTGAGCGTGCGGTACAGCTCGGGCGCGCGCTCCATCAGCTCGCGCATGAACAGACGCTTCTTGGCGTCGTGCGTGGTCGTCGACGAGTAGCCGTTGCTCAGCAGGTTGCTCGTGCTCTTGGAGATCTTAGCCGGCTCGTCGCGCCGCCGGGCGCTGCTCAGGGGTTCCTCCTTGTCGAAGGAGTCTGCGGCGGAGAGGTCCCTCTGCGAGCGGCTGATGCTGGCCAGGATGCTGGGGCTCTTCAGCGGCGGAGGCGACTCGTCCAGGCGGTGGAGGTGCGACGTGGACTTGTACAGCCCCGACGACTCGCGCTCGCGCCCGTGCAGGAAGCTGGGCGTGTCCACCGGATCGACGGCGTGCACGTTGAAGCTCTTGCTGCGCGAGAGGTTCGTGCGGTAGGTCCTGGCCGGCTTGGCGGGCCCCGCGGGCGCCGACCCCACGCCGTTGGTCAGCGGCTTGGAGAAGCTGCCGGACGGCGGCGGGGTGACGTTGTTGATGATGGAGACGTTGATCATGGAGTTGGAGTGCGGCTTGGAGGGCGCGTGCGCGCCGTTGCGCTGCAGCTGCTGTTGGTACACCTGGCGCTTGAGGCGGCTCGTCTGCGCGTGCTCGTCGTACAGCTTGCGCGGGAGCGTCTGCGCGCTGCGCGTGTAGTCGACGACCGGGCGCTCGTGCGCCGGCGACGCGCGATCCACGCTGCCCACCAGGCGGCTCGTCGACTTGCTCAGCCGCCCCAGCGAGCTGCTCGACACGCTCACGTTGGCCCTGCAACACGACAGCATTCGCTCTTTACTCTCCCAAGCACTCAAAGTACAAATGGACGCTTGAATGGAGTATGGGAAATACAACTCACAGCTCACTGATTCTTAAGATAATAATAGTTCTTGATAAAAATGGTCGGTCTAATTGTAACAGTTCGATAAAGTGGCAACTGAAGAAGCTATTTGACTGATAAATTCACTTACCATTTATTTCAAAATCTAAAAATTCCACTTCCAGCAATTTGTGAGTTTTCAATTTTTTCCTAACTTCTTTCAATTCTCTTTTAAAGATATGCTCGACTCTTTTTATCAATTATAGATATGCTCATTCAACGGGAGTACGAAAGCAGAGTATGAATATAATTAACACTTGAGTACAACATTAAAGAATTTCTGGCAAATGACATAAACATTAAATTTCTTTCAGTTGCGTTCAGAATGAAGTTTTTTATTTGTATCAAACTACAACTTCATGTTACATTAATAGAGTTAATTAACAGTTTTGTTTATTTCTCTTACTTATATCAAACACAAAAAATACCTTATATTTTCAATGATATGTGTACTGTATATTTCCATTGGAAGATAAACAATGACCTGTTTTATTTTTTTTAAATTACAAATACAAGACTGCATAATGAATACAATAATTCCTCTGACAGTATACCCAAAATAACACCTGCGTATGTCTTTCGAACTGTTGCAGTAGATTACAGTTACGTGAAAATTGAGAATTATTAAAAGGAAAACAAGATATGAGTACCACATATAGAATACGTTACGTAAGTTTGTAATCGTGGTTGACGTAATACATATTTCATAACTTTTATTAATTTCAGGTACCTTGTATGAAAACATTCAATCGCGTTATTGATTGTCGTAAATCTGCGGAGTCACGCATTGACAAATAATTTTTACCGATGCTCATTCATTACTGTTTTCCTGGTACAGCACAGCCAGACCGATTATGGTTTGGCGCACGTATTCCGAAAGGCGGGTGAGACAAAGCGACCGTTCATCGCAACGGGCAGTCGCGGAACGCGGGCGCGGGCGCGGGCGCCAACGACCGAGCTGCTCCTCGGCGGCGCGGCGGCCGTGGGCGCTGCCGGAAGAGAGCGGGCGCTGCTCGCGGCGCCGGTGCCCGGGGCCAAGGAGAAAGCGCCCGCCCACGGCGCCAACCGCCGCTCGCCCGCGGATGCCGCGACCCGGGCTTGCACTGCCACCCGGGGACGTCGACTTGCTCGCTCATCTCCCGGTGTCAGGCCTCGTCTTTCGCCTGTACGTGTGGATCTCAAGATTCGGCCTTTCAGACACACGTCTAGGTTCAGGTCGCGACTTCATGGCCTGGTTTCATGTACTGGATTCACGTGGACGCTTCACATTCCGGATTTGCGTTCTGACTATAAATACAGGCTTCACATATCGGCTTCGCGTCCCAGCTTTACGTCCTAGTTTCATCTCCCTAATTCGTGCCTCCCTCTTTGTGTTGCGACCTCGCGACCCGGGCTTGCACTGCCACGCGGGGACTTCGACTCGCTCGCTCATCTCCAAGTTTCAGGCCTCGCCTGCACGTGTGGACGTCTAGGTTCTGGTCGCGACTTCATGGCCTGGTTTCACGTTCTGGATTCACGTGGACGCTTCACATTCCGGATTTGCGTTCTGACTATAAGTACAGGCTTCACATATCGGCTTCGCGTCCCAGCTTTACGTCCTGGTTTCATCTCCCTAATTCGTGCCACCCTCTTTGTGTTGCGACCTCGCGACCCGGGCTTGCACTGCCACGCGGGGACGTCGACTTGCTCGCTCATCTCCCGGTGTCAGGCCTCGTCTTCCGGCAGCACGCGTGGATCTCAAGATTCGGCTTTACAGACATACGTCTAGGTTTAGGTCGCGACTTCATGGCCTGGTTTCATGTACTGGATTCACGTGGACGCTTCACATTCCGGCTTCGCGTTCTGACTTTACGTACTCGCTTCACAATCCTGCTTCGCGACCCGACCCTACGTTCTGGATACATTGTTCTGGAACCTTTCGTTCTGGAACCGTTGTGGAACCTTTATTGAAAAACACCAGTTTATAATGAAGTTTATTAATTTCAAATATTTTGTTCGCATCTAGAGAGCTCTACTTTTAGGCATCACAACCAGAAATCGTCATTTCTAAATGTGTTAATGAGTAAATAATGCCTTATATATTCAAAGTATACATATGATTGTTCTCTCTTGTCAGAAGGAATTTTCACGTAGTATACAGTCAGATAGTTCTATACAAACGTTTTATTTAGTATAACGTGAATATTCAAGTTCTTCAATAAATATTCCATGAACATTTCAAATGCATTTAAACTAATTTTCAATAATAACCCCATTATAAAATTTGTCAGCGTATTTCTCGCTTAATCCAAATAAGGGTTGAAAAATTGCATACGAATGTCTGTCCGTATCTTAACTCAGAAACTTCTCTGTAAAATGCTTGAAACATATATTTTTTGAACAGCTTTAATACTGTGTGTTTGCTGTCATATTAATACTTTTTAGTTTTGCTCTCCACTCATCAGCTTCTGTATAAACTCTCAGATCAAGCACTTCGCCTCGTCGCATGCTGAAGCAAGGGGCTGCCTGAATGAATGTGTGTCGCACGCCGCTGTCGCGATTGATTTATAATGAGCGTTTGTGCTGCAGTGGCAATTGTTCTCGGCGCGTTTTGCACGGCAATTCAGGTCACATTTTCTCAACGTTCGACCTTGGAGACAGGGTATGTGGCACGCTCCTTCATATTAATTTCTAGAGAGCGGATGAAATATTTTCAAGAATGATTTAGAAAGTGAATAATATTAAGAATTATTTCATTACTGATGATGCACACAAATATAAAAACTTCTAGTCTACAAATACATGTTTGTAAAATTCGAGGAAGTAGATACTTTTATTAAGTATCTACTTTAAGTATTAAGTTATAGTGTCGTAAGTTTATCACGTTAATACATTTAATAGAGTTTTGAGAATACGGTAATGCCATGTATTGCACTTCTCACAAGATAAGACATCAGATGTTGGGGATAAAACTTTCTTCACTACATAGTTTAATAATGTTTGACTGTTTATAATAAATGACACGAAAATAATCAGTTAGTGCATAATGAATTATTTCGCATCCTGTCAGCCTTGCTCAGAGATAACATTGCAAGTAGTGTATTTAACTTCACTCGGGCACGTACGCAATATTTTGAATAAATAATGATGTGTATATGGTATTCAATTTCACTTCAGTATTAAAATTTTATAGTCTTGAGAGTAACGTAGTGTGATGTATGTTGTGACATTTTCATAGGTCGTTTACTTTTACCGCTGAACATACACGTGTGGAGGGCCTCTAACAAGCCTGAAAACCCGATTACCGCGCAGAAGTTGTATATAGGCGAACGCACGGGAAGCAGGTTATGGTCGATGAATCACTCTGCTCCGCCGCTTAGTGGTTCGATTGTCCCCGGGTGATCTGGAGAGCAGCGGGAGTGCTGTGCGAGGTGACGCGACGTTTGTAGTCACGCACTCCGCGAAGGCCGTATCGAGAGGCTTGCGCGATTAATGACATTATTATCGAAACGCCAATCGAATGTCATTATGTCGCTAATTGAGCGCTCTCTTATTAAAGGAATTAATGTTTTCTATTCAAGCACCGTACTTCACAAATGTCGGATGCTATAAAACTTTTACTATAAGTCTCTTTTTTATCAATTCAAACATTCTTAGTTCAACATTCAAGTCAAATGACTTAAACTACACAAAAACTCCATGGAATTTTGAGAAATATCAACTTATATTTTGAGTAGTCATCATTCACAAACTCTTGCAGTAACCGTTTTTATGTAACCCGCCTCCAGGCACTACCTTCATAATTTTTCATAAAACTGGTATAATTAAAGCATTTAATCGTTTGAATTGTAGTATAAATATGTATGGATTTAATATGACTGTAATCTATAATAATCTGTAATCCTACATCTGTAATAATAAAGTCAGACAATTATTTCTAAATGTTTCGAAATATCATGAAAGTATTATACAAATTTATAAATATTTGTATACTACCGTGCGTGTCTATAAAACAGGTGGTTCTTCCATTTATGTAGCTAGTTAAATCAATGTCCATATTTCGAACCTGTAAAATTATACATATTTAAAAACTAATTTCCTTAGACATGATATGTAATTGTCTTAGATAAAAGCTGTGGTAAACCAAAGTTCTCACAGATGTTCAAATTACGTAAAGCAATTAACTTCTACACAGAAAGACGTCTTCAAAAAAACAGTGTTGCATAAAACTGAGAAAAACACAACCTTCCCTCTTAAAACGTAGACTGATGGAAGCAGGCAGTGCGGCGCATACAGAGCTTTCGCACGAGAGCCATCAACGGCGCTCTCAAGTACTTTCCCAACCGGGACAAGGTGAGACGTGAGTCAGAGGTTGTTCTTCGCATGCGGAAACTGGCCAAGTCGTTCCTTCCGATCTCGGCGACCATTTTTCACGCTCTTTGGCAAGGTGAGTTCTCTTTCTACTGCTGCCAAATAGAATTGCAATAGTAGCATTGCGGAAATGGGAATCACTATTGCTACAAATGAGAAGCAACAGATATAAACTTCAAGAAACAATGAAGGATTTTGAAGTGATCGTGACACACAATTTAACATTTTCTTACGTCGTAATTTATTTTCTCTAAGGAAATTACTTTATTTTCTTTAATTTGACATTTGTTGGGTGTGCGTTCAGAAAATTTAAAATGTAACAAGAAATCAATAAAAAAAATACTAGATTCATCCGTAAGATTTTCGAAACCTTTAGAAACGTTTGAAGTGGTATTATGAATACGATTCAAATGAAAATGGAATGAATTGAAGTGGTGTGTTCTCCAAACCTGTGTTTTAAGAAATACGCATTACTATTTTTTGATCATAGCATTCTATTTAATTGCAAATTACAACATTTGCATAATTGCAAACATATTATTTTAGTACATTATAATT